TTTAAGATTTCGTAAGTACTTTATATGATTTATATATCTGTTATATCATAACAGTTATATGGGATCCATTGAAGGTTTGTAAGTTATAAAACAAGGCTTTTATATAATAAATAATTAAAAACAGTGGAGGGATCCATTAGCAAAATATTGCATACTTAATTTTGACATATAAACTTCTATATTTTAGACCTTCGTTTATACAATGCACTTTAGTAAGTGAAATTAGTAATAAAGATATAGAAAATGTTTAACTTCACAAAACCCCCAGTAACAGTTTTTATTAATATTATCCCTTTGTTATGTACATTATCTTCTTATCTATAGTTGTTAAATGATATCTTTCGTTTCAAAGTGAATTGCAAAAGAAGATAAGTATCTTTGCGAAATAATATTGCATAATTATATATTCAATTTGTTAATTATAGTAGATAGGCGTGTATACTTTTAAATACATACATTAAATATATAATATAAAATTAAGTTAAATTAGATACAAAAATTAGATTAGATCTCATATGTATAATAATTCTGTAAAATTCGATTATATATTTATATGCATATAAATACAAGTCATTTTAAAATAATTATATATATATAATATAAAAGATAATAACACAATAACGTCAAACCTCTAATGAACCAAATAATATTGACGTAATATCTGCTACAAAAATATTTAATTAAAATTAATTTTATAATTTAAAATAATAGTACTTGTCTCACTCAACTAGCTGTTAGTGCTACGAACTTTTGATAATATTTACTTCCAGGCCCGTATTCAGAAGTTTACTTTAAAAAACTATCAGAGAGTGCAAAAAAATGTTGATGACTTATATAAAACGCCACATTTGAAGAGCACGTCAAAAAATAAGAAATAAATATTTTTATTTTGTTAGTAATAAATAATATATATTATTTTTTCTTGTGTTTTATAATTATTCAAAACTCGTGCACCTTTAACACTTTGTCGAAGGTTTAGCTCGTTACGTTCCTTTCTACCTTTCTCTTAATTATATGACTAATAGTTTATGAATAATTATAGGCAGATAATAATAAATCTGTCTATAAATAATTTCATAGAGAAAGAGAGACTACTTTAGTGCTACAATGGTTCATTTTTTTAATATCTACATTTTTAACCGATTCTTTTCCCAAACATCCTTATTTTCCTTTTTATTTTCAAAACTTTGTAGTTTATGGAACACCAGTTCTCAATATAATTACTTATCTAGTCAGACAATTAATACCTCCATCATGTTGATATTTTTATTTTCCAATGAAATATAGGATTTTGTAAATTATGGGTTTTCAAACCAATTTATCTGAAAAAAATTTGGACAATTCGTACCATTAATCGTTGGACAAAAATTTTAATAACAATATTTAATGGATAAAAATGTGACCATTCTAAATCTTTTTATTCTATCTAGTCCTATTTAAATACTAAATAAAAATCCATATTCGCTTATGGAAACTATATTTCCCCACGTTACAGTTGTTACAATTAAATTAAAAAATGAACTAAAGCTGCTGGAAGAAAGTACCAGCAGTTGCAGATAATGCAAAAATAAGACAAAATAATACACCAGTAGAATTGCATATATCTTTACAAATTGTTTCTTGACACATTATTGATCTCACAAATTCTGACTATATATAAAAATCATATATAATATATATGATATATATATGATATATATATGATATATATATGATATATTGATATAATATATAATATATATATATGATATATATATATATATATATGATATATATATATTACATTTTATAATTATTATTACTTATGAAAGGGAATGTACAATGGTTCAAGAAGATATTTTCCATTATCTTTTATTTTAGATAATTTTATTCTTTATTCCAAAACTTCGCAGGAATCATTGTCATTTCTTTTAAGTGACGTTAGTTCAATATACATTTTTATATCTCTTCTGTTGTGATTTGAAGTAGTTTTCACTTTAGTAAGTTTATAGTTCATTATATACTTTGCTCTCCACTGTTTGGGCCTAACAGAATTCAATAAAGCTGTTTTCTTACCATTCGCGAATAATCTCATAACCCATATATAATATCAAAAATTCGTACATTAATTTAAAATGCAATTTATGAGAAATAATCTATCTAAGTAATATATAAGATTCAAATTTTACCAAAAAAAAATTATACGATTTCATGATTACAAAAACTTTTAAATAAATAATTAAAAATAGTATTTATACTATTAAAAAAAAACATTTCAGGTAATAAAATTAATTGGCTCACCCAAATCAGTTAAGCTTATTTTAATTTTTCACTTTTCGTTTCGTACTTTCAAGAACATTAAAAAAATCAATGGAAAATCAAATGCCAAGCATTTCTGGAGGCTAAAGCAATTCACTTTTTATTGTTGGGAAAACCTTGAATTTTCAATTAAATTTGAACAGAAACAGAATTTCTAATTGTAGATTCATTGGTAATGTTTTGTTTATGAGAAATATGTGAACTATTCTATGTATCTGTAAGTTCTGAATTCTCCATGGTAATTACTTGTAAATTTGAAACAATAAACTTTTAATGCTCTTTATGCTTATAATCATATATAAAATTTATTAGAGCATAAATTTAACTAAATTGAATATTTTTAACGGAAGTTCATTATGCTTCAACAATTTTCAGCACATCTTTTTAAATAAAAACACTGTATACATATATATATATATATATATATATATGCATTTGATTTTAACAAAATAGTAAAATTGTTTTAAATATGTTAAAGCATTCCATGTTACGTGTGAATAAATTTGGTTTACATTTGAAAGGAGCTCATAATTACTGATGATGTAAACTTTATTATATCGTTAAATGAAACTATCTATTTGTTAATAATATATACAATCTATTAGTTTTTAAATAGCATTTTGCATAGTAATGCTATTTAAAACTTTACATAAATAAAATAGTTTTTGTCTACTTTTCTGCTTGCGATTAGTCAAAGTTTTCTTTTACTTTACCTAATGAGTAGAAATATTCATTTTTTATAAGAGTAGTGCTTTATGTACTAGTCCCCAAGTGTACTATATCTTAAGCAATGCCAATTAGTTTTATAGTTGAAAATTCGCAGTGACTGAGACCAACATGGAATTAACATCACTCACACAATGTAAAAAATATCGACAAATACTCAATGTTAAGAGAACAATTGCTTTATCGAATTACTATATTGTTTTGAATCGAGACATCCTTCAGTTCAAAACATTTTTTATGTAATAGTAATAATTTCTTTATAAATAGTGTATGTTTATACCTATTCTTATCGCATCTCTTTGGCATATTTTTTATATGGAGTGTGTATGAATTTTATATGAAAAATAGCAAATATTGCTCTATATTTGACGAATTAATTATAGTAGAGTTGTATTGTTCACCTAAACTTATCTTGTAGGCAAACGATTTAAAAAGGAAGGATATTATATTATATTATTACTTCTTTGACTACTAGATTACTAGTACAGATTCATTTTTTGGTAGACAATAAGTACAATAAACAATTTTTTCCCATATTCGCAAGTTTATTCATGTAAAGAAAAACATAAAATTAATTATAATAATACTTTTAATATAATAACACTTTTCATAATAATTTTGTTTTTTAACGGACTAGTTTGTCAGTAGTTAGATAATACACAATATTTTGTTTTTTAAAAGATTTTATTTGAACCGATATTTCGACTATATTCTATAGTCATCATCAGGGTAACTTTTCTCAAAAAATATTTATTACAGTTTCAAAAATATACTGATCTTGGTCTAACTGCTATATAAAAGTGGCAATTTAACATTGACATTAAACAATCTTATATTCATTCGTAGCGAAATATTCAAAAATCTCTGTATTTGGTTTCGTTCATACTTAATTCTGGTTAATTTATGACTAAAACTCTATTTACCCAACATAAGTAATAGTGATTTTGCTCTTTCATTGTGATTTTCCTCTTTTAACTGATTTTGTTTCGCTAAAAACCTGTTCACACAGCAAATCTTAAATTTATCTTAATTTGGTTTATCATATTTGTTTATTTACAAAAAAAATTATGCTTACTTGTGCTGTGTGAATAGACTATTAGTCACTATATGTGGATAAGGCAACACATGTTCTCTATCACATTAAGTCCATATATTTTTATTATTTTTATTTTACTATTATAGCTCAAATTGAGTTAGTGTGGACCAAATATGCTGCAAATTGTTTGATGTAATAAATCAAACAATAATGCATACAATTACAGTACAATTGTATGCATTATAACGGAAAGTCTGATCTCATAGCTAAATATATGTATATATAATTCAAATAAAAAAATATTTAATGAAGTGCAAAATTTATCTACAAAAATGTCTAAAATTAGTATAAGAATATTAATTATTGAAATTCTTTTAATTATCAATTTTATTTTGTTCGAAATTGCCAAAAAAAAAAAACATAATAAAACAGCGAGGTGTCAGAATTATATGTATTAACTTTTAAAAATAAAAATATTAAACACCATCCATTGAGTTCCAAGATAACAAACGAAAACATTTGTTTTTTATTTTTATATATTTAAAAAAAAAGTGCATGAAAATCACTCTTAGATTTCTGCAACTGAGTATATTGTTTATTTGAGAAAGAGTGTAAGGAGCGAGATAAAGTCGAGCGTTCAAATGAAAGAGCCATGATTATCATCAGTAGCGATAAGTGACCGCCCGCCCAGACGTCTACCGTTTTCATTATTAGAGTTAAACTGTGCTTTCGCATTTAGTTAGCAGTTGAGTTTTATTAACCCGTTTCCACACAAATACTACTTGCACATATCTACAGTATACTTACTCATATTATACTATATGTATTTTTATATAAAATATTATTTTACTTAATAGTAATATTAATTTCTCTTTACTCTTTTTCTATTTGAGTTTTCTATGTGTGTATTTCATGTCTTTGTTTTAATTACTTATTGCAGGGAAAAGTATCGCATGAATCCATTAAGCAACTTGTACTTGAAGCAGAGCATTTAGTACGTGACGAAGCGCTCAAGACGCCAACCAAGCAAAAACATTCCGCCGCTTTGAAAATATCAACAACAGTGAAGAAACGCGAAGTCATTATGCCGGGACCCATTAAACAGCGTGTACAGGTGAGTGAATGCAATAAGCATATGGTTTTTTGTTATTTCATATGTATATACTCCAAAAAAAATAATAATAATAAAAAATAAATAATATCATTTTCTTTGTCAGGAGTGGCTGGAGCATCAACCTACAACACCGTCACAAATGCATAACAAAACTCATGATACGCTAAATGGTAGCAATAATCTTAAAGGTGCTAACAATCGTACTGACGATTGTGAAGCTTCTGGTGAAGCATCTGAAACAGATTCTATACCACAACAAGTCTCTGATTCTTCAGAAGGTTTTACCGATTCTATAGCAACTTGCATGCAAACAAGCACAAATTCTTATGGAAATTCTACAGAACATATGGGTGGGTCTGCAGAACCCATCATGATAACAAATAGTAATGCTGTTGTACATGGTTGTGGCAGCAGCAATCAAAGTTTAAATATCGTCAAAACAGTCAATAGACGTCAAAATAATACACGTCGTAAATCTGAACGTCCATGGTCAGTATCGTGTTTGTCACAATTAACCACTGCAACACAAGTAGCTAAAAATGTGAATAATACAAATGATCTGGCTACACATTCGATAAGTGAATCAGCATTAGATTCATTGTCACCAAGACGTCCGCGTGTTGCGTCCACATCAGCTGCACATAACAGGTCAGCTGTTAAAACGTATGATAGTAAAGGTTCACTTAAGCGTCGCAAAACACGCAAGAAGAAACTTTCAAACTCTACAACAACAACAGCTGCTGCTGCCGCCGCTTATTCAATAGGCAAAAAAACCGATTCCGGTTCAGAAGAGACGACCGAAATTCCTAAATTAACACACACGTTGCTAATGAAATCATGTGAATCAATGTCAGCTCAGCAAATACAAGAAATAACTGCGGCACTGTTGAATTTGCAAAAAAGTACCGCTTCAACATCAACGGAACTAATTGCTAATGTCAATGCCACTGCAACAGCATCAAAACAACAACAGCAGCAACAACAACAACAGTTGCAACAACAGCAGCAGCAACAGCAACAACAAAATGAAAGCGAAGAAGAAGCACAATTGATGAAACCCAATTTCCGTGTTGGCTCATACACTACAGCGTATATGCGAAGTGAGGCGCGTTTAGGCTCATTAGCTGCATTAGCCACATATATGAATGATGAGGAGCAGCAAGGAGGTAAGTTACAATACTACGTATTTAATATGTATTTAAAAATATATAAGCTTTTAAGCTTATTTATTTTTATTAATTCATTTATAAAGTTTTATATGTTAATTTTATTTTGATTTATTTTTTATTTTTATTTTTTTGTTTATAACCACAAAATTGCTTTTTGTTATTAGTTTAAAATTAAACTATTTACAATTTAATTTATTTCTTTAAGTTATATATATATTTAACTTAACACTCTTTGTATTAACTATAAATATTGCACAATTTACTTTAAATACTCACTTTCTTTGCGTTTCAAGCCGTCACACCAGTGCCACAAAAGCGAGGTACTTTCATTATTTATGCAATTTTACAGTGCACCCATTAATTGTAATCTATTAAATGCTTCCATGTTTATATATTTCTTTTTATAACATCCAATGAAACAAAAAAAAACATTTTCAATATCAACTTTTTTATATAGTTTTTATCTATATGGTACAGATATATTCCAGATAAAAAAAATTGGTACAAAGTTTAATGAAAATACGAGTATACAAAAACAGTAGTATTTAATGTATAGAAAAGTTGATAAAAATATTATTATTTAAATTTGTTTTTTGAACTCATAAACATTAGCTCAGTTAAATAATAGATTGTAATGAATATAAGCTTAAATTTTTAAAAAAAAATTGCTGATGAATCAATATTTTGTTTATTGAAAACAGCTGTGACAAAATTAATATTACAAAATTTAAAAAAAAAATTAATAAAACTCTTAAAACAATTTTAGATAGATCTCAGTTTTATAAAAAAAAAACTAATATTATACAGTGAAAGCGTCCGGGTTTCATAAATGGACATCTCACTTAATCATACAATATTGTTAGTCCCCAGTTTAAATGTTTCATAAAAATTACATACTTTTAAGCGGAGAATTTTCTTTATTGAATAGTATAACTGGTTTCAATCCTGGTATATTTAGTGTTGGCCAAAGGAGTATCAGAAAACTTATTTGTTCTTTACTCCCCAACCTATATTACTTTACTCTATATATTCTATTATCCCAAACAAACTATTCTCTCCTCACTCAACCTTTCAATCCTTATACATGCATTCGTTTTCTCATTTTTGTTTTTTTCGTGCTATATAAATCTCCAAAAGTAACAATAACAACAATAATAATTTTTTATTTTCGTATTATATGCAAAAACAATTTTTTAAGAAGCTATTATTGAACGTGTAATTGCCCAACAGCCGGTACTGCGACCAGAAGAGTCCTATTATACCAATTTCACTATTGATTAAACAAAACCCATTAAAGCTTTGTAAACAAAGTCCAGAACTAAATCTGGAAAAGAGCTCTTAATCTGTTCTGGTGACAAAAATTCCATATGAAATAAGTTTCTTACTGCACTTAAGACTTAAGTTATATCAATGTGAAAATAAAAAAAAAAACACCCTGTAATGCTAGTGCTAACATATGTTATAGGTTAAGAGCGCTTTCACCTAAGAGTTTTCTTTCCTGAAAACCATTTACCTTTACTCTATATTATCTACTCTACAAATTAGCATTACTTTAATTATATTTAAATAAAATGTTATTCTTTTATTTCATAGAATATACCACAGGTACCGAAGATCATCATAGCAGCTTTTCAGAGACTGCCTGGGATAATTATCAAGAGAAATACAATTCAGAAAATTATTCTGAAGGCTTTGATTCAGATGCAGCACGACGTCTGCTAGAATTTGGCGATGATTATCGGTATGTGTTACCTTCAGCTATTGAAATATATATTATGTATTTAATATATAAACATGTATAAATATTATATATATATAAACAAAGAATATAAAAAATATATTTATATTAAATTTCGGTTTTCGTCTCCCACTTTTAACAGCAATTTTATCGATTCGCAATCAGATTGTTGTTCATCACTTTCGGCTGCCAACAATTTAGATTCATTGTCACCACCACGTATGGATTCATTGCAACAAAATGAGGCAAAAATTATAACACAAGACACAATTGTAAGTAGTGTCGATCACGCCAGACGTCGTCGAGCACTCGAATTAGAATACGAGCGTCGACGTAAGACATTAGAAGTACGACGTAAATCGTGTCAAGGTATGTGAAATGTTACTGTACATTCTATATTTATATATGATTTTTAAATTATTAATAATTAATTTTCTTTTTACTAGACTCTTCAGATAATCAACCGCGTAGTCCCACCATATCTTTGTCATCATCAGCTAATGCTTTGACACCGAAGAACGGTGAAAAGTTCAATTATCAACAACAACGTACAGATTCGATTAATCGTAAACTTGACTTTGGTATGAGTCATTCAGCGCAATCATTACGTCGCACCTCTGAAAGCGATACATCCACCAGACGGCGTAAAGTTGATGAACGTCGTCGTTCTTCTAGAAATTTAGAAAAAAGTATTAAACTAATACCAGCCACAACTTCATCTAGTTGTGATGATTCTGATGATGAAAAAGAAATGCGCAATTTATTAGAACAAAGTCGTAATCGTTTGGAAGATACACGTGCACTTAAAATACGTTGTCATCTATTACGTCCTGAAGATTATGTACGTAGTCAATTCTTTTATAATATTATTTTAAATTGATTTTATATTTTTTACTATTTTACTATTAATATTTTAGTCTGAAATCATTAACACTTGTCGCGACAACATACGTTGTCTGGAATCGGTACTACGTGGACCACCTGGTACTGTACTCTCAACGCAATGCGTTAGCCAGACTAAAGGTGAGTTAAGAATTTACTTCGTGCATGCCAATTGCAAATGTGCGCCCATTACACGTTTTATCGCACGCGCTATCGATTACATTTTGGATTTGAGCAATTTTCTTGAGAATTTTACGCTTTATAGATTTTTTATGAATACCCTAAGAAGTCTATATACACTAGTTAATTACAAGCTAATGCCGTTTAATAAATATTTATCATATTTTAAAAAAAGCTGTATAAAAAATGATTAAAGTACACATTATTATTTAAATATATATTATTATATTTATATAAATTATTTTATATTAAATTGCCTTATTTTTATATTTGTTTTTTTTCCTGTTTTTTTTTAAATTTTTAATTTTGTTGTATAGTTTTTTGATTAATTTTAATGTATAATAATTTTTGTAAAAATTTTTTCTGTAATTCTTTTATCAGAACCTCTTTTAATTTGTTTGAGTTATTTTTTTAAAGTGTTTAACGATTTTTTTTGATGTGTTTTATTCCTTATATATAATTATATGTAAAATTTTTTTATTTTTATTTTCTTCTATATAATTTTAATTCAGTTGATTTTTTTCTCTATAAATTACATATAATTTCTTTTTTTCTTTTCTGCCTTGATATAAATTTATTTTGCTTTTATTTTTTTATATATAATATGTAATATTTTTGTATTATATTAACGAATTTAAAGCAAGTATTTGATACTTTTAAATCTTATTACTTTGTACTTATAATTTATGCATTTGACATATTATTAATAATTATTTAGAGATTTTATTTATATTTAAAATTAATTAAAAATTTATTTACAATTTTATTTACATAAATATATTCTGTCTTAATAAAATAAAGTTTATATATATTTAAATTAATTAAACAAAACCCAAGACTTTTTATTTCAAATAAAAATATGTCTTCTTCATTTAGTCATTAAAAATATTTTGGCAATATATTTTTTGTTTATAATATATAAATGTTAATTCTGTATGATTTTCTGTTTAATTATTTTTATTTTTTGTGTTTTGTCAAATGTGCAATATTTAGTCTTGGTGGTTTTATTATAAATATATATTGTTGATTATTGCCTAATTAATGTTGTAAATATGCTTAATGTAAAAACGAAACAGAAACTAATCCAAAAAAATGCGCGGTAATGGGCACACCTTTGTTGTATATTTCCTATTTATATTATTATTTTTTTGTTAAATCTATATTGTGTTCATTTTTGTTTAATAAGTAATTTTTTTTTTGGTTGTAATTTGTGTTGTATTGTAGACAATAAATCTTTTTAGTATATTATATATATTTAAATTTTTAAAAAATAATATAATTAAAATTTATTTATAATAAAAATTTCGAACTCAATACTTTATAACTATTTACATAACTGTGAACTTATAATTTAAAATAATTTCTCTTGTGTATTTAAAATATTGTTAAAAAAATTGAATTAAATTTATTTAATTATTAATTGAATTATTAATTGAGTAATTAGTAAATTGATTACTCCTTATATAGTAATTTAAAAGGGTTTCCTAGAGAGATCAAACTTTTCACAAGTAAGTAGATAATATTTTATTATCACAATAATTTATGTTTTTAATATTTTTGATTGTTTTTTTAAACAATATTAAAAAAAAACCGTATACACGATACGTCTGCCAGTAATAAAAATTTTTTCCACACATGGTCTGGGTTGGAATCCTATTCAAGTCTGTTCTCTTTAAAACATATATAAAAAACCCTTGCTCGCTTTATCAGAGGAATAAAGCTCTACGCCTTTCTTAAATTTACACAAATTCCTACTCTAAAACTTAAATAGAGATTTAACTCTATCTGGTAATCAAAAAAAATAATAAAAAAAAATGTTGTCCTTGGTCGAGTTAGATTTTTTATTATCACTATTTTGGTTATTGATCACTGAACTGTGTACCAGACCCATCGTGTTTATTAAGTATCCTTACTTCATCAAAATTAAAATACGATTCGTTATAATACAATAAGTCAGTAGAATTGATTTTCAATCAACAGGTGTTAAATTACCTTTTAGATCATAACAAATGACGAATCCAATTAAATAATTGATTCCGTTGCAATAATTATAAAAATGGTGTGTATATTTCGAAATAAATTAATAATATATACCGCATTGTCATTCTTTTTTGAAATATATAAACAATTTTGCAAGAAAGATCTTATTTTATTAAATGTTAGAAACTAAATTAAAAATCGTCATTATTCTTTTTGGAATTATGTAAAGAATGTTCCAAAAAAGATTGAACTTCATAGTAAATATTATAAACTAAATTAATAATAACTCATACCTTTCTGTTACTCTTTGTAGAATTATATTGAGTTTCAAAAAAAAAAAAACTAAATTTAATAAATGATAAAATCGATATTAATAACCTAGAACTCTTCATTATTATTTTTAGAATTATGCTAAAAGTTTTCAAAGAAAAATCTGACTGTAGTTAATATTATAAACTTTATCAATAATTTAATCTCTCCATCTTACTTATGAATGAGTGTTCAGGTTTTTTTTTATAAATATTATTTTGTTCTGTCTGTGTTAGTAAAAAATTGTTTATGTTTTTTTATCATTATTCTTTGTTTAATAACAAAAAATTTTCATTTTTACAGTTGCAATAAGTTCTCACTTATCTCTCTTAGTCTGTATGTAAACGTACTTTAAATTTGTCGTACGCTTCCTTTAATTTTTGATAAGGTTTGTAAATTCTATTGAATTTCACATTACTCATTGTCTGTAATTATTATATATATGAATATATATTCATATAAACATTTTGATGAAAGTAAACTTTATCAATGTTTTGTCTAGAATTATATGTTTAATAAAAATATTTCCAATACTTTTAATAATGTAAATGATTATAACATTTATATTATAGTTTTTATATTGTTTGTCTTTGTTTACTAACCTCATATATTGATGTCATTTAAAACATTATGTGTGAATCTATTTACTTAAAACTTCATTAGTCATTTCTAAGTAGATTAAATTACTCAAAAAAACTCATTGGATATAACATTTTTACGCGTTATTGTCTTTATGTTTGGGAACCTAAATGTTTTATTAAATAAATAATTTTATGATATTAAAATGCATGTTCACAGAATTTCATCGAAATCTTTTAACATAAAAATTAAAATTAATATATTCATCTTTTATATTTTGTATTTGTTGCTCTTCATGGAAATATCTCAGAAGCATTAACATGGTACTACAGTTCTTCTGTCAATTAGTTTGGAGATACATCTGTATGTGGAATATTTGAGAAAAAATATGCATATATATAAAAAAATGCATGTAAATATTTTATATATTTATATATATAAATTCATATATATAAATATATTTAAATAATTTATTTTTGTAATATTGCCAAGTAAAAATAAGAAGAAATCATTTAAAGGATCTCCTAAGTTAATATGGATACAAATTACTTCTATTAATTAAGACTATTCTTAGAATATCCTGTGGTTTAACATACCAGATCTCATACGGTTTAACTTTAATCAAATGGTAACACTATACTCGTTTCCTGAAAACCGCAGCACACCAGTAGTTTTCATTTCACGGAATCTGCAGTTGTCGGAGTTCTTTGAAAGATAACAGTTAACAGAAACATGTCCGCTTAAAAATAAAAAACTAGTCACTTAAGCTCACATCTCACTAGTAATAAATTTTCAGTGTAGTTTTCATTGACCTGACTTAGTTATTTCCATTCCCAATAACCTTTGCATCAGTCCATGATATCGTAAACAATTTATTTCAAAGTTTTTAGGAACTGATATTACTATACTCTAACAAAAGTAAAGGACTGTAAAAAGAAATACTAGAGAACTACTAAATTAGTATCTATTTAGTATCTTATGAAGAAGCAAAAAAAATATGTCTGATAACCAATAAGCTACTGCAATTATATTATAGTTAAAATTCTCTCGGAAGTTTTATTAATTTAATATTTCACAACGTTGCCAACATAAGCTCTCCTTTTTTTATTATTGTTTAGAATGATATATACCATATATACCATATCAGAATGATATAGTACAATATAAAAAAGAAACATTCCATTAAAATATTCTAAACTTCAAATAATAAATTTTTTTACTATACTCCATAAAAATCTTATTTAAATTTAAAATAATACTGTATAATAGAATTTACTTTATGAAATTATTAAAATATTAATAACACAATTTTATGAGTCATATAAATATAATCAAAAAGTAGTAAAGCAGTGCAAAACCAAGATTAGTGAATAATCAGTGCAGTATATGATTAATCCATAATTATTTTCTTAAAAGAACAGAATGATAATGGAAAATTACAATATTATCCAAATAACGAAAGGTTCAATCTATCGTTAACGAAAATCTTACCAAAATAGCGATAAAAGGTGGAACCAATATAGAAGTGACAAAACTCTTAGCAGTGCTGAACACCGGGTCATTGTACCCATGTAAAAAATTGTATATCCTTTTCAACCAAAAATACAGAAACTTCAAGGAAGAAGAAAAAAATAACAACGGAAAACTCTCTTTGCAAATACCCAAGCCTTTCAAAACTACTTAGACATTCCTAAAATAAACTAACGAACCTGGCGGATATCTAAAATTTAGACTTTTTAAAAAATATATTCTTTACCAACTGGGCTAGTTAATTTCAAGAGTAAGATTTGGATGATCCCGTTTATGGTAACAAAAGAGCGCTTAAACGTTTCTTGAACAGAGAAGGAAACTCTGTTCTCACTAAAAAGAATTAACCATAACCGGTGCTTATGATTACATTAGAACTCAAAATCTATCTTATAAGAAATATTGTGACAATAAATTTCATAAAATTTGGTGATTGTTTATATAATGCTATAATTTGATCTAGTCTTTGCCTAGAAGCCATTAATAAAAATATTCGACATTTAGTTATTTCTACAATTTAAAATAATATGGTAATAGAAAAATATTCCACTAAGACCCAATATATGGTAAAATTTAATAGATTTTTTAAATAAATTTAAGTATATTTCTCTCTCTGAGAAATGCTTATAAAATATATATTTTTTTAAAAAAATCACAAATGTTTTGCAATTTAAGTTTTTTATCTTCCTTTGCGAAATATTTTAAAATTCTCTTTACTCCACTGTGGTTTATGATGATGTAAACAATTATAATGTAAAGTTACGACTATAATTAACAAGAATAGTTTTGATATCAAATT